CGCGAGTATTTTACCCATTCCAGGTTTTGGATTGGGGTTGGGCTTGTTTTGTTTGTTTTCTTTAACCATGTGTGGAGTCCCAGAAACATTCTAATGGAAGTGCAACTCTCTATGGCAAATTAACGCCTGCTAATAATAGGCTTGCTTTTTTTAGCTGCCTTTCACAGACCTGTTAGAAATGTCCCGTTGACCCTCCAGGGTTTTGTAAACCAGGGGTTGGAAACTGCCATGCTGATGGATATCTGGATGAATCTGCAGAAGACTGCCAAAAATTCTCAGCATAGCTGGGCTGTTTTGTTCCACTCCTGCTGATCAGATAAAGCTTTTTAGGCCTTGCAGGAACCATTAGGAAAAAATATGTATAAATAGTGATATTTTCTTGTTAGCCCTGCTAGAGCTTGTTTTGACAAGCTTGTTATATTTCAGCTGTATGAAAGCATGGCAGGAGAAGCATAGGTAAGTATCCTGTTAGGCAGAAAACACACATTCTCTCATGTCTGTTGCAAAGGAAGATTAATATGCAGTGTTTTAATCAATGCAGTTTTTTGTACAGAAAAATTAAATAAACTTAAAAATGAACTCTCTTGCAGTTTCTGTCTGTCTATGTGGAGTTTGTTGGTTTAGGACGTCCTGTCCTGTGGATCTAGATCACCAACTTCAGCTGTCATGAATATAGTATGACTAGTTATGTGTGTTTGCTTCCTTTTGATGATGATAAAAAGTTAACTTTAGTGTTGTTTGTCAACTCTCAAGATACCCTGTGTGCCATAAAAGCTGTTTGGAAGTATCTTTTCAGAGTATATTAAAAAAGCAAGCTGAAAACCTAAAAAAAAAATATTTGCTTTGCCCCGCAGAATTGTTTTCATATAATGAGCAGAACTTGAAACTCACTTAGTTCATATGACCAAGTGAAAATGTGACCTATTCCCAAAGTTCAACGTTAATGGACTTCTAATAGAGGAAATGGTTGCAATATACATAGTAGTACTGTAGTTTTGCAAGTCATACTCTTGTGCTTGACTTCACTAGCATGAGTAATTACATGAAAATCAGCAGGTTGATGATGATGGTCTAAGTTTTACAACATCAGAACCTTAGGTAGCTTTCAGGTGCTTACTTATTGGGTGAAGGCCCACATCATTTGTTTGTACATTCTTAGCATATTCTTTGGCAATTACAGGCCATTAAAAATAATATTATTTTTTTTTACATGGCTTATGGCAGGTCGAAAGACAGTGACTAAATTTCTATAGGGTGAATAGCATATTTAAGGTATGCATTGTAGCAGGAAGTCGGTTTTCATTTGGTTTGTTTACGTTTCTAATTTGAATATCACAGATAAAAGAGGAAAAGGTCTTTGCTCTGTCATGTCTCTAAGCTAAATTGATGTGTGCGTTGTCATTGTATCTCATACTTACCTTGTGGCCTCTCTTGTAGCCTGACACCAGGATTAAGTCCTTAAACCCTTTGCCTGCATTGTTTACATATTGTTTGCTCCAGAGTAGGAGGGACTGACATATTCCATCTGTGTTATAAATTAAGTTCATATGCAGCATGATTGAAGGGCAAACCAGTTAGGGCAAGTTACTGCTTCCTCCCCCACTACAGTCTTGTTGTTGTTGTATTATTTATATGAAAATACCAATTTGGGCAACATAAACAAAAACAGATGTTTGTGTATGTAAGAACATGGAATTAAAAACACCCCTCTAACGGGGTCATGAAAGAGAGAAGCTGAGACTATAAGCTCCTGTAGCGTGATGCTTAAGATAATGTACACTAAAACACATACATATTTTTTAAATAATGAACAGTGCCTGTGTGATGATTACTGTTTTTTCATTTTGTCACCTAACGATGTCTCCAAAGCAAGCATTAAATAGAAAAGTATATTAAATAACAAATTTGTCCTCCAGCCAGAACTAGAAGCCTGTGTGCTGTCCTTTAACTGCCTCCTTACTGCACTGCAGAAATGAATTTCTAGACTTTCAGCCTGAGGGGTCTCAAGGCTCCTTCCAATTTCTGTTTAGATAGTTACACAGCAATAGGTTTTTCTTTTTTTTCCCCTCCAGTTTAGCTCAATAATATTTCTAGAGAGAGAGCTGTAGGACTTTTATTAGAGCGAAACCACTTCCTGCACTTGCAAGAGAGATTAATTTCTGTTTCACTACTGCAATGTGCTGTTCAGGACTAAACCCACAGTTTTAATCACTGTGTATTTGCTTAGCTTTCAGTCAGTCTTTGCTAATACTGACCTTAAGGTGACTTGTCAAACTAATTCCTCTGTTAAATAGGAGTTTGCTTTTCCTGTGACTGTTTCATTACTTCACTTTGGGAAACAAAACGTCAGGGGGGACAAAGAAAAGGCTCAGAGTCTAGGCAAAAGATCCTGAGAGTCTGTGTTTGGGACTATCCCAGCTTGTTACTGCACCTGATGTGTCAAGTCAAAGACTTTCACTTGAAAATTAACACCTACATTACAGTTTTCTTTCTTATTTTTTAGTGCAATATGGTGTTACTGTCAAGACTGTTGTCAGGCATGAGCCTTTAATTAAGTCAGCTTTATTTTGAGCTGGCAAACCACTATAACAATTTTAATAAGATTATTAAATAATGCAGTGAAGGTTAACCTGCTTCCTTGGGAGAGGGGAAGGACTGAGTCTTAAAAATACTTGTTAAGTCTGTGTGAGTGTATAAAGACATAATTGTCCTTATAGAAATTGTGGAAAAGGATAGGGATTTACTGGTAGGTATAGATTTATCTGCACTGTTTATGAAAATTATATAGCTTGTCTTCCTAAGTTTTAGGAGTCATGAGGCTAAATTATAGCTGTGGTTAAAACACAAAATAATTACAATGTGTTATGTGAATTTTTGTGAATGAGGAGAGGGTTTTTTGTTGCGGGTTTTTTTTCCTTCTTGCCAGAGTAAATGATATCCTCACAAGGACATTTTTATCTTGATTTTTTTTTGTTCTGTGTGATGTATGTATAAATACAAGACCGATATGCTTTAACGTTAGTCCTTGTGACTTTCTTAAGATTCATAAACTGTCCTAAACTTGCTTGGCAGCATACTAAATGCTCGAAGCAGAAATATAAGAAAACACCTAGTTCTCCTAGTTTGTTTGTACCCATTATGTTAGAAAACAGATATTGCAAATGGTCTAGTTCATCTGCTTCTGTGCACCTGGAAACTTTGTGCTCCTGGCTTTTGCCTCTCGCTGGGGCAGTAGCAGTTTCAGTCACTTCTCTTCTATGTCAGTTGCACACAAAGCTCATCAACTGTGCACAGAACTCACCACCTCTGTGCTTAGATGTAATTAATTGTCCTCCTCATTAATAACCTTAACCTTTGGCTGTGAAAGACTAATTGTCCTATTAATTTGGTCCTCTTGAAATAATAGCTAAAAAGCAAACCATCATCTCCTTCCTTGTCTAGGCAGGGGCAATAACATCTCCATTTAGGTTGCCGTTATGCCTTGTACTTGACAGAACTTAGCCATAAAATTTGGAGAGAAGTTTAAAGTCCTAGGTACTTTTGCAATTCTCTCAGTATGTTTTCTGAAAAATTAATCACTTTTGTGTAGGCAACAGTGTAACTTTTTAACTAATTAAGCACAAAAATAGCTTCAGTATGAACTTTTTTTTCCAGAAAACATAAGCAATGATGAACATTGGCTTCCTTTCTCTGAAATAGAGTGGCAAAATGTACACTCTTTTTTGCAGAGCTGTGAGAAGAAGCCTTGCATGTTGAAATAGCAGGAGACTGGTCCCTTCCATTCAGGTACATGCAATTCAGTGTATTCAGTAGTAAAATTTCTGTAGCCATTTTTGTAGAAGGTGGGTCTTTAGAGGTTGTAGTGTTATGAAGTGTTCAGAGCACTGAGCAAATACTCAGTGAAGAAGTGTCTTTGGAAGAAGTTGCTGGGTGTACAAAGAGCCACTTTCAAAGCGTAGCATTCCAGGTGTGCTTTAACGTTGAGTGGTGTTCCTTCATAGTGCAGATGGACTGATCCCCTGCCAAAGACTTATGAGCACCTTTTCTGTTTTCTCAAATGCCTACATTTGGTGGGAGTTAAACTGAAAGTACAAAGCAGCACACATACCTGGAGTATTACAGTTTCTGGCTCCACGGTGGACCTTACCCTCTGAATAGACAAGGTTCCTGCAGAGATGGGCAGGAGAGGACAGGGTAATGTCAGTGTTGGTGCTCTTAGGACAGTGGAGAGGAGTTGGTTAGAAGTGCTGAAGGAGTGGCAAAACAAAATGCCATTAAGGGATGGAGCAGAGGTGGTGGGAGAGGCATGGCAAAGCAGAACAAGGGATGTAATGCCAAAGGAGGAGGTGAGAGTGGGAGACAGCTGTTGTTGGGGAAGAGCATCCTGCAGCCAAGACTGGAAGTTTCTGTCAAGTTCTTTGCTGCTTAATCAGTTCCTGCAAATCAAACTTTACAGCAGTTTGGTTTTTACCCCAAAACTGTGAGTCAATGGATAAGGAGAAAGGAAACCTCTTCCACTTGCTAAGTTTCCCAGTATCTGTAGGAGAGACCCTTCCCTTCCCCAGATCTGAGGCAGTAAAAAGGGACCTTGGCAGCTCTGCCAGGTCTTTGCTTTTTTCCTCGCGTGACAGTGCCCAGTTCTTGCTGCACTCGCTGTTGTGGCAGGTGCTGTTGGCACTTACCTGATGACTTTTTCATCATTAAAATTCTCGTTGCCTTTCTGCCAGGGGAGGTGGAGGTGTCACACAGGTGGACCTAATGTGTAATTAAGCACTTCTTAAAAGCACTTAGAGAGTCTTCTGAGTGAGAAGTGTTCCGCTAAGTGCAGGAGTGTGGTTTCCAAATCCATTATTTCGCGTTTGATTTACCTTTTCTTGCTTTTTCAACTCACTTTCTGCAAACTGGAGTTTCCCACGTGATTGCTGTGCGATTATGCCAACAGAGCATGCCAATAGAGTGCCTTGCAAAGCTGTGAACACTGGTTTCTAACTCTCTTTCAGATGCAAGTATGGACATAATAGCCTATGATGATTACTCCAGTCCACCGCTTCAGAGATATTGAAAGGACACCTGAATACCTCCAGCCGGAAAAGTGTGTTCCACCTCCTAGCCGCGCTTCCCTGGGAACAATGTGGTTTATTCGAGATGGCTGTGGTATTGCATGTGCTGTCGTTACCTGGATGCTGGTGTTCTATGCCGACTTTGTAGTCCTTCTTGTCATGCTAGTTCCATCGAGAGATTATGTTTATAGTGTCATCAATGGCACACTGTTCAACACCTTGGCTTTCCTCGCTTTGGCTTCACATTTTCGTGCTATGCTGACAGATCCAGTAAGTATATCTCTCTCTCTGTATGTCTCGGAAAGAAACAGGCAGTGTTTTTCTTGTCTGCTAGATGTTGGGCAACTCGGTAGCCGAGTGAGTGGCAGATTTAAATAACTTTTGTGTGTCAGCCTGCTGATACGGCATGCTAATTTCTCATCCCACTCAAGTCAGATGCAAAGTCAGGGATCCAGTTTTAGATTCCCATTGTGTGAGCAGCTCCTCTTTTTGTACTGGGAAGGAGAGTGTTTCTCTCTGATGCTGTTTTCTCTCCAATGGCAGATCTCATGTTTGTGGCTTGTCATGTCTGGGCAAACAGGAAAGCTGGAAAAGCTGGTTTTGGTTGCCTGCCTTGGCAAGTATTACTTCAGCGGAATGGAGCAGAGCGTGCATTGTTTTGAAAAGCCATGTTACCATCTCTCATTCTACTGATTTTGTTGAGTGTATTGGACAATGATGAAGTAAATACTGTGTGAGCATGCGAAGAGCTGACAGTTTTTAGGCAAGTTGTGAAGCCTCAAGGTTTTAAGACCCACCCGTATGTATCCATAGGACATTGCTTTGTGAGACATCTGATCTGCTGCTTTCTAGTCTTTCTGCTAGTGAGAAAATACAGTGTAGCACCACAATGCTAATTCTGAATGGCCTGTGATGGTTTATTTTGCTTAATAACCTCCAGACAGTAGATTACAATTCAAAACCCCATCTCCACTAGTCACTGGAAGGAAAAGCAATCTTAGACTTCTCTTGTCCCCTTTCTCATAAGTGTTCTTGTTGCTTTTGGGAGCAGTGGTGGTGCCTCTGATACCCTGTTCCTTTCAAATGTAATTTCCTACTTGAAACCTTGTTAGGTGCTGTTAAGACCTGAATATAATCTTTGTTTCTTAGATTCCAGCTCTTCCAGAAGCCACATCACTGCAGGAATGGCTTGATTTGGGGTAATCTTAGAATTTCTGGTAAACACTGTTGAATTGCACACTACTGCTGCTAAACAGAACTGTGAGCAGTGCTTGAGGCTCTGAAACTTCTGGTCATTGGAGTCAGGAATAGAGGGTTGCAGCAGCTTGTTAGATAGTTTGTATCCTGAGGGTGGTGGTGGTTGTTAATTATCATATGTTGTGTGGCTTTTATGCGTAAGGACCTTCAAGTCACTGGAATTATTTTGCAGAGCTAGCAGGAACTCTTCTGAAACAAAAGCTGTGTTTTGAAACAGGCTGGGCAAGCAGTGTTGGAGAAGCGGATACAATCTCTACTGGGAGTGATTGGGAAAAGCTATGTTAATTCCTTTGTGAAGTGGGATTTATGTGTGTGGATGGCAAGAGCCAGTGGGATTTTGTTTCATTTTTTTAATGAGGAATTGGGCTAAATAAAATGCTGGAAGGAAGATACAGAGAGGGGATGCAGCAACATCTGGCAGACAGTGTGAGTCAGGGATTAAGGAAGCTGCGAGGATATGGGGAACCAGGGGCATGTCTAGGATCAGAATGAAACAGAAAGCACTGCTGAGGCAAACAAGCAGAGTTCTTATTGTGAATAAATGAACACCTGAGCACTGATGGTGTGTTCTGCATTTCAGGAAATGCATCCTGTGGGTTCTTGCTAAAAATATTCCTAAGGTTTTGAGCTTTGCTGCATACTGAAGAGAGAGACATGAGTTGTAGCATTTTGTGGAAGTTGGTCTTGGTAATTTTTAAATTGGCTAGGCCTGTTGGGAGTTTTTGTGGAAGAAAACGGCCCCAAAGACTGCTCAAGAAAGCTGTATAGGACTGGTTTAATATTCAGATCTCTCACTCATGTGTATCATTCCTGTTTATTGCTGCCAGGAGGTTGTATACGTATGTTAAAAAGAGACTGTTGCATCAGAAATCTGTCAAAATATTGCATCTGTTTTTACTTCAAGGGAAAAGCCTTAAATTCACAGAGGTGCACTTGTGTCAATGTCCCAGTAGTGATTTCATGCAGCATGTTTCGGGACTTTTTTTTTAGGGGAGGGAGTTTATTTGGTTTGGGGGGGTTTTTTGAGCAAATTTATGCCCCTATAAAGACGGGAAACTGGTACTTGGGCTCCTGCAGCAGCAATATGTTACCTATTTAAAGACTTATTTTAAAGTGGAAATTGCGCATCTAGGAATGTTTTCTGTAGTCTTATTCAGGTGGGAGGATTCTTAGTGTTCCCTGTTTGAATGTTAAACCCTAATTTAAATAACAAATACACCATGGAAGAAAAACTGTAAATACATGAGGTGTTTCCCAGCAACCCTTAGTTACACAATGATACTTCAGCAGTAGCTGCTTCTACTGGAATAAAACATCTGTGGTTTCCAGTTTGTGATATGAAGCACTGGCATGGTAAATTTGTTGATGTGAGAAGAGGGATGAGGAGTCTTAAGTATTTTAAAGTTACTATAGGATTACAAAAGACTAATTGCTTATGTGAGGATTTATTGAGGGTTAAAAAAACCCAAAAAACCAAAAAACCCCACCAAAATTATGTTTAAGTATGTGGTGTCATATTTTATAACCACATTTTAATTTCTTTTCTGAGTCTTCTAGGTCTTCTTGAAACTCTGTTGGTCTTAGGGAAGTTTTTATTTTTCTCTTCCCTCCCCTCACATAGTTGTAAGTCATCCTGTTGTTCCTAGCACTTGTGAAGTTCACAGGTTAATCTTTTTGTTTGTTTTTATTTTTCCTGCAGGGTGCTGTACCCAAAGGTAATGCCACAAAGGAGTTCATCGAGAGTTTACAGCTAAAGCCAGGGCAGGTGGTTTACAAGTGCCCAAAGTGTTGTAGCATCAAACCTGACAGAGCACATCACTGCAGGTAAAGCCTTTTCTGAGGATGGCTGTTTTGTCAGCACCTCAAGAATTATTCACCAGTCTGCCTTGATCTAAGTTGTTGGAGTCTGAAACTGGAGTGGGTAAATTGATAGATTGCCATCCAGATGCTGCTACCAGTTGTGCCACATATCTGTAAGTTTCTCTGAAAAAGTCTCAGGCCTTTTCTGACTGATTTTCATCTGTAGCTGGCTGAGGCCACTTGTTGCAAAGTGAGAAACACTTAAAATGAGTGCTGCCTTCCTCCAGACTTGTAATTGACATTTCACAAATTTTCATGTAAACATGACTTAAAAAGAGATGTTATATACCAGAATATATAGAAATCTATAAAACATCTCTCAAAAAGTCAGTGTCCTTTCCATATTTGTTTCTATCCACAAACCCATTTGTCTGACTGTGTATTCTATTTAGAAGTGATATTTAGGTTAAAACTAAACTGCAGGTAACTATATATTTTTTAAGCATTCAGACTTCCACATTTTCATTGAGTGCTGTGACTTTGTTCTGTGCTGTGTGATAGATCAGTATGCCTACTGATCTGCCATGTCCTTCCTTTTTCTGGTAGGATAAACTTCCTGGAAGAGAGTAACTGGTAGTGAGCTTTTTAGTACTAAAGGCAGTGAACAAAAAAAAAAATTATTCCTAAAATTCTCTTCTGATTTTAAAGCAAGCAAACCTGCTTTCCAGTAAGTGGTTAATGTGTTTGCATTGGTCCCTTCCTTTCCTACTCAAAACCCAATACACACCCAGGGAGCTTGTACCAGGGTTACTGATGACTCCTGCGGGGATCTTGTGGGGAGGGCAATACATGGTAATGAGCTGAGCAAACCTGTTCTGCTGGTCACATTTTTCATATTTGTTTTCAGGCTTTTAGTTTGCAACTGTTTTTCTTAGTTGGTTTTTTTTCCCCATTTT